CCACTTCAGCCTCCCAAAGGCATGGGATTACAGGCTGAGCCACCGAGCCCGGCTTATTTATTAATTATTATTATTATTTTTGCCATGGTGTTAAGATGAACAGCAGTGAGACTGTGAATACCTTGGGGTTCTCAGATTGTAAGAAATAGAAAAGATCTTTTGCTCACTTAAGCAAAAAGAATACTAATTGACTGAAACTTATTGGATGTACTCCTGGACAGAAATCAAGGTAAAAATAAGGACAAATTTTGTATCTATATTCTAGAAACTATCCAACTTCTGTCCCAGGCACTATGCTAAAATAAATGTGCCTCAATCACTTTTCCCCCTGTTCTTGCCACTGTTAAAGATTCCTATTTCTGGGAAGGGGAGTCTAGTTGACCTGGCTTGTGACTTTTACCTGCTTCTTGGCTGGGGGGATGTGAGAGTATCCGATTTATTGTTCCACCAAAACTGACCACAATATTTTGGGGAGAGGTAACTTCTCTCCCAAAGCCAGGGTACTAATGAAAAGTGGGAATAAATCCTGGGTGGGTCTCTGACCCTAAACAAATAAATCTTCACTACATATCTCTACCTGGTAATACCAATAACTAACAGAGGTAGTTTGAAGGGAGGAATGGAGGAGAAGAGCATTTAGCTCTGTCTGTTTGCATCATGATTATTCAATTTGCAGGGACTCTTTTTCCTAAAAAGTGAATCTCATAAATAAAAATTACAAAGACATATCTGAATTCAGTTGAGCAATATGATCACTGAAAGGTAAGTCTGAACAAAAATATTTTGAAATTGCAAGCATTGGTGGAGTTTGAGTCTCCTTACAAATGTTAGCTTGATGATTAGTTTTTTAAAGGAAGTGGGGTATGGACTTTTTTGTGGCACTGAACTTCATCAAGGGCAGAAAAGCCGATTTTCCCCCTAAGGTCAAGGATTCTAATGGGGAGAAAGAATAAGGATGATATCTTGGCTTGTACCCTTATGACTGTATCAAAGATGCCTGTCCCAAGGATGTGTTCTGCTTGAGAGCCATGGTCTGACTGTATGTTGGCCATATGCAACCTCTGGCAAATTATTTCCTTTCTCCTCCTCATCATAGTTAAGGCTGAAAAGTCACTAGATAGTGTGGGCATATTAGTGCATATTTTAATCACATACTCAGTACTTTTATTAATTTGAGAGAAATTTAATCAGGCCTCTTGAGAGCACACTTAAGAACATTTCCCTTTCAGCTCTTAAACTATAAAGAGAGCATGTCTTGTGGTCTCCCTTTAGGTCCCTTTAGTGACCGGTAGTTGAAAACTACAAAGAAGGATTGAGTCTTGGGAAAGAAAATCCTGCCTCTGAATTGGATGACCCATGTCAGGAGGGTGAATGGGTAACAGGGACGGAAGGACACAGGGAGGTTTACTCATGTTATTAATCAGAATTTCTGGATGTGAGATATGAATTTAGTCAACCAAAGTTTCTCCATTTTCTAGCCAGAATATAAAATAGCTGACCCAATCTGCACATTTCTCTTTTCCATCCTGGTGTTGGCCAGCACCACCACTATCTTAAAGGACTTCTTCATCTTGCTCATGGAAGGTAGGAGTGATTTTATTACTATTCTCAGGGTCAATGTTTTCTCTTCCCTGGAATCACAAAATGGAATGCCCACAAGACGTGCTCACTGTTTGTTCATTTTATAGGAACAATTTAAGCAGAGTAGGAATTTTTTTATGAAAACAAATGTTTGATTTTCATTCATATGGGAACAAATAAAAAGAACTGGCTTCTATTTTTGCTCCAGCAACTGTTAAATGATATCTCATACTGTAAAAACCATAAGTACACACACTACAAGGAAGACATTGCAAAAAATATAAATTGTTCCCTAAATATACCTGGAAAAGACCTAAGAAAGACTGCGCAAATCAACTTTTCAGGCAGCTTGATAGCTGAACGTTTTGGTCAAATTGTGCCTCATAGTGCAAGAACACCAGGGAGGGGGATCTTTATTTGTCCAAAAAGTGTTCACTGAGCCCCAACTGTGCTAGATCATGTGCTCAAAGCTAGTTGCAGAGATAAGCAAAGCAGAACGAAGTTGTGTCCTCACATTCTGGGCTGAATTTGCTATGCTGATCCAGCGTCTGCACTGAGTTTGGTATCAATGTAGTGACCTCTCAGAAGCTGGGACCACCAGGTTGCCTAAGGAGGGGTGAACCAGCCCAGGAAATGGAGCAGGTCAAAGCTTCCATGCTGATCAGTGGCAGCATTTGTGAATAGCCAGCCAGGGCAGCATAGCAAGACCCTATATCTTAAAATAAAAGAAAGCATTATTAAAAAGCTATGTCCTTGTGGAGCTAATTAGTAAGGAGAGAAGGGATTTTTTCAAAAAATTACACAGACATGCATTAGCGAGAAGTGCCACAATGAAGAAGTGTGGGCCCTTTGGGGGAATTTTAAATGGCTGGGGAATAGTGGCTGGTGGCTACAGAGGCTTTGCTGAGACCTGCTGTTAGCCCTGAGAGGGATCTTTTGCTTATTAACCTCATTCTCTGCAGCAGACCCCAGCCTCATCTCCTTTCCTGGCCTTGTGGATTCTCTGTTGGGCTTCTTGGGTCTTCCAATTCCCCAGGAATAGATGACACAAGTAACCCTTACTGCCAGGAAAGTCTTTCCTGATGTCTGAAGCCAGCCTTCCCTGCTTCCACTCTGCATTTTGGCGATTTTCTTTTCATTTGGCATAAAGTGGTTGAAGACTTGTTGTCTTCTGCCGTTTCTGGCCACATCTTTACTGGCAGAGTTACCTTGGAGAAACAGACCACGATGTTGAAAAACAAGGTCTTTACATCAGACACATCACAGTTCAAGGACCAGTCATGCAAATTTTGTCTGGACCTCAGACAAACTCTTTACTCTTCTGAATTTCAGTTTTCTCAGTGCAAAAATGGGACTACAACATGGTGTTGGGTGGATTAGATGAGATGCATGACTACTGTCTAGGACAAAGTAGGTATTCAGTAAGTAATAAGTTCCCAGCTAGATGTTTGGGTTGACTAGAGTCTAGGAAGCTAGGCTGTGGAGGTGAACCCTGTATAGCATATTTCTCCTCACACCAAGAAATTCCCAATTCTTAACCACAGAGTGTGGCCATCACCCTGGCTGCCATCAATGCAGATGGCCTCAGAAGGATCAGATAAGAGATTCTTATCAGAAAACATTCATCTTTACCACCAGAAAAACTATTCAATGGTACTTGGAATGGGAGAACTACTGACTCCCAATGATAGTGTAATTACAGTATATTGGAGACAGGGGGTACTTGATTATATCTCAGTATTATGAAGGATTGGCCTGAAACCCTTGTTAGACCAAGTCAGCAGTTCTCAAACTTTAGTGGCATTAGAATCATGTGGAGAGTTGTGAAAACACAAATTACTAGGCCCACCCTCATGGTTCTTGAGTCAGTGAGTTTTGTGGGGAGGTGGGAGGAGTGAGAATTTAAATTTCTAAGAAAACGCTAATGCTGCTGGGTCCAGATCACACCTCAAGGACCACCAGACTAATCTGTCCACACTGTTGAAGGTATGAATTCCTGCATTGGGCACACCTGAGAATCGAATCAGAACTAGAGGTTTGTATCACATCAAATGTCCAGATGATTGACAGTATCCAGACATTAGTTGAACTTTTCTTTTTTTGTCCAGCACATTTCACACAAGGCCATCATAGTCTCAGAAGGCAGTTGCCTTTGGTGATTGCTCTCATTTCATTCCCATTCCCTGCCAAGTATACAGTTAAAGGTTTGTTCCCAACGGACACTACAGTTGTTACAAGATGATAGTGTTGACGACAGTAAAATGGATTATGGCGTCAAATATTACAGAGGTGAACTCTGGTTCCAAACGCAGGGATATTTGGCTTGTCAAGTCACAGGGGCAACCATTTTCCTTCCTGAGGGCCAAGCTGCAGCTGTTGTTGCTCCTAGGGAGGTTACTGACCTAAAGGGAGAGAAAAGACAAGTTGGTGTGCAGTTTCAGGTGACTTATGTTCCACTTTCTCTGTCTTAGTATAGCTCTTCTCTGGTGATTTTCTTTCTTATTCTATTTAGGGAAGAGTGCAGAGACAGGGCTACCTTTGCTAATTATGGAAACTAGTAGATTACTCCTTTCTGGAAGGCACTTAATTTTTAAATTAGGTTTTCAAATTAGGTTAGTACAAAATAACACTTGTACTTAGTAAAATTTTAAAATAATACAAGAAAGTATAAAATAGAAAAAGGAAGTCTTTTATGTTTCTGCCTTTGATGTATGAGTCCCATTCTTCAGGGGCAATATCTATTAATGAGTTGACATCTATCTTTCCAAAAAGATGTGTGCATTTACATACATATACATATGCATATGTGTATACTATGTGTTGTATGTGTGTGTTTTTATAAAAATTGGATTACATATTGAATCATATTTTGTCTAATACCTTGCTCTGTTCTCCTGAAGATCTTTTATGTCAGCACAGACACAGACACATTCCAACCTCTTTTACAGGTGTAATTATTGCTTGCTTCTGGTAGGCATTCCAAATAATAGTATGATTACTACTCTTGCACATACATATTTTTAGCACTTGTATATCTGCATAATAATTCCTTGAAATGTATGTGCATTTTAAAATTTGATAGACATTCCCATTTCCACCAAAGATCCCATGTCTATTCCCTTCTCTCCAACATGTAAAAAAATGCCGATTTCCTTATGTCTTCACCACTGATGGGTGTCAAACTGTTCTTTTCGACCCTGATTGGTGAAACATGTATCTTATTGATTTCAAATGCAATTCTTTAATTCTGAGCAGTTTTTAAGATATATTTATTAGTCTGGGGAGTTATTTTTCTAAACATCAATTTAAGTATTTTCCTGGATGCATTAATATTTTTGCAGACTCTTGCTGAGATGTGATGGGGCACTGAGACCAGTGGGGACACGCCTCTTGCTTGTCAAAAACTCCAGGTGTTTGCACTATATACATATAATTGAAGTAGAGGCTACCAGAGCATTGTACTTAGAGTAAAATAAGTCATGGTGAACTTGTATTCTCTGTAGTGGTAAAGAGATGAGCGAGGAGAGAGGTGAAAAAGGTAGTGAGACCAGGACCTTGTTTCAAGGGCCCTAGATGACTCACATCAGGTCTTCAAAGGGCCAACAGAAATTCCCCAAAGAGATGACACACATTAGACATAATAGTCAACTTGATGCAATCCCTAGATGCTAGTATATGCATTGTGCTTGATAGTCAACGCGTGGACGTTAGAATCTGACATCCCTGGCTCTGGCACTTTCCTGTGTGTCCTTTGCCATGTTTCTTAACCTCTCTGACCCCAATTTCCTCTCCCCTAGTTACATAGGAATTGTGATATTGATATTCAGCTCCTGAAGTTCTTAGGATGAGTGAATGAGTAAATCTCTATAAATAAAGTGCTTAAACTTAGCACAAGCCTCATATATGGTAGGTCCTCAATAAAGATTGTTGTTATTCCAATAAAACAATTTTACCCGTGAGTTTATATACATTCTTCAATTCTTTTAATCTGTATCCAATAACCTGAGCCTTTGGCTGCTCACAGAGTAAAAGAACACGTTGACTAGTTCTTTGTTACTTCCGGGAAACATGAAGTAGCATTATACTCACTCAAACTGTTGAAAATTTCGGGTTATACCCAGGAAGAAAATCTCCCACAAGCAAGGTTCTTAAATCCTGGAAAATCAGGGTGAGGAGGTCTCCATTTTTTAAAAAAAGTGGTTCTCAGCTGTAATTGTTCAGTATAATCATCTAGGAGCTTTTAAAAAATACCTGTGCCCAAGCCTTCCATACCCAGAGCTTCTAATATAATTGGCTGGGGTTGGAGCTGGCTTTGGTATTTTTGGCATGAGGCCAGGCTTGAGAACTACCACACAGTAAAGCATCTCAGTGGCTCATATATGCTCTGCCCTGTAACCCACGCTTGACTGCGGGGGTCCAGCCCCTGCAAAGAGGTTTAGAGGGTCCCTGGGAGGTGTGGTGGCGTTGGCAATTATTCTGGAGAAATAAAGAGAAAGAGAGAGACAGGGGGAGAAAGAAAGAGACTGGACTCTGTCTAGTGCAGAAACTGTTTAATGGGATGAACCGTAAGCCTTTTATCCTAAAGTTTCACAGGTTAAATCACAAGACTTTCACATGAACACAAAGCCAGGGGGGTGAGGGGCATCCCCCACCCACCAGGTGTTTCCTCAGGCATGAGGAAGAACAATCCCAATTAAATCACAAAACATTTTCATAAACATAAAGCCAGGTGAATGAGGGACCTCCCCCACCCACCAGGTGTTTCCTCAAAAGCAATACAGCAATTCTAATATCATAATATTCTAATAATCAATAACTTTTAAAACTTATGCATACACAACACCTAATGACCAACTTAAATCCCAATTCCTTTCTATTTTATGCTAATTCTACCTACACTATAGAAACTCTTAATTATAGCCCAAACCAGTTCCTAAGGAATGTGGCCCAGCCCAAAGTTTGTGCTGGGCCGTTTCTAGTAACTCTAGATAATTAACTATATTATTAAGATTGAAACAGCACTTTTTATGTATATACTAATTTTACAAATATACTTTTAAATCTTATAAAGAAGCTTGTACCGTATTAAAGGCTCCCAAATGTGACCTGAGTTTGAATTATGTTAAGTTTAAAGCCGAAACCGCAGTCTGTGAGAAACGGGAACAATGGACTCCTAAAGTAAGCTATGCCTGTCATACTCTCAGAGCTTCATGCTTAGATCATCAAAGTCCCTGTTAATGAGACATGCCAAACAGCAACGAAGAGAAGAGGGAATGGGCCATCAGCTCCTGAACTCATCCTAGTGGTCTCAGGGTTTGCAGCCTGCCTGGATCCCTAACGCTCAGGCGAGCCTCCTCAGCCCGCTCCCAACACTTGGCTGCCTGTTGGGATCTCCAAACCAGCATGGATGCTGGCCTTATCCACAGAGGTCTTAGGTGTAACTTGGTCATCAGGATTCCTAATGTCTTGTGGTGGTCATATTAATGTGCATCCAAGATTGAAACCCTATGGACTTCAGAGCCTTGTCTGTGGAAATTTCCTCCAGGAGATCTGGAATGGAGCTGGTGCATACTTGTTTTTAGTAAACACCCCAGGTGTTTGCATTATATACATGTAATTGAAGTAGAGACTACCAGAAGGTTGTACTTAGATATTTCTTCTACAACATCCTTGAAGGCAGCTAAAATGATGGAAAACTTACGAGTAATAAAATGGAATTACAATGTCAGGATCCTCTACTAACACAATTCACTAAGTGACCTGTGGATGACTAATGTTTGTACAGAATTACAGTTTACAACGAAGAGATATTTTTTGAACTGCTCCTCAAAGAACTCTGTGATCTATACCTGTTCTTATCACCCTTGTTTGACTACAAATGGGCCAAGGATCAGAGATTCTGCGATTTGGGTAATTTCACAGTAGTTGTCATCAGAATACCACCTGTGATAACTTCATACCAAATTCCATGTTATTTCAGTGTGTTTTCCAGAGCATAGGTAAAGATGATTGAAAGAAGGACAATTAGTTTAATAACACACTAAGAACGAAGGATAATTATTACTATTATTGGGCATCATATAGCGAATCCTCCAAATATTCTTTCTGTGCACTTTTGACTGGTGGCAAACCCTCTGAAGTAGTCAAGTGAATCTTATTTGTAAACATCTGAAGTAAGAAACAAGAAAAAGGTGGGGCACGATGATATTTGGTGAGGACATTGCAGCTCATTAGCTGCTTCAATGAGCTGAATTTAGTAGAATAACTACACCGTCTCTCACCTCCTATCAGGTGTGCCAAAGGGTTTACAATATCCCCGTGTGAAGGAGCTCATCATGGCCATTGATGGGGTGGAATCTGTGCACAGCCTGCACATCTGGTCGTTGACCACGAACCAAGTGATTCTCTCAGCTCACGTTGCTGCAGGTCAGTGAGTTTTGCAAACACCTTGGACAAGACTCAGTTCTTGTTCTATAAAGTCAATAATTTCCCCTCTTTACTCAGAGTTGCCCTTACTGTCTGTTGCCTGTCAGAGTAACTGTCAATTGTTCAATACTACCAAAGACCTCTGAAGCCAACCTGCTTATCAATGTTGTCATAGCAACAATGATGCCACGCAGACTTCAGGGCTAACCACAGAGAGGAGGGGACAGACACAGGGCTGAAGTGTCATCCCAGTTTCAAGGCTTAGACTCTGAACATCCAAATTCACCCATCTGACTTGGTACCCTATCAGTTACAAAATAGGAATGGATTAAAAAATCTGAATTGAGTATCACCTGTATAGACATTTATCCTAACACTGAAAATAAAAAGATGGAAGATATAGGCCCCGTATCTTGTCTAACAAGCTCACAGATATGCTAACAGGAATTATGGTGGGTCCTTCACTGCATCGTTAGAAATTCCGTAACCATGTGAGATAGTTCTTATGATGCTAGGTTTATACTAAAAACTACTTTGTCAAGCAGAAGGTGATTTTGTCCATGACATGTCCTGGAGCTGGGAGAGTTGGCAGTAGGGCGGTCCCTTGGTGCCCTGGGAGAGGGCTCAGGCCAAGGATGACACATTCTGCTGCTAACCATTGACACAAGGAGTTACAGGCAGGGGACAGAAACACCTGTGACAGTCACCTGAGACTGCGCTTCCTCAGACACCCTCTTCTTTGAGAGCTCAGATCTGGCTTTGGGGAATTTACAGCATTTATTATGCTGATATTTCACTGCAAATGGAATAATCTAGTAAACAGTCAGCTTACTATGGAGGGGACTTTACAGCCTCCTGATACCACTTGCCTCAGGAAAAAAGATGGTAGGGAGGGCTGCTGCTCTGAGCAAGGCCTGTGGGGAGTGCTCCATGCTTTCTAGTCCCTGTCCTAGCTGTGATATAAACTCTGATTTCACGCAAGGACTGCAACCCAAGATCCTCAGGGACTGGTGTGCAGGGCTGTGGAAGAATAATCATTCTGTCATGGCTTTTTCCAGGGCTTGTCTCCCCTTCTATGCTCAGCTCCCAGGTGTGCCAGAACCCCAAGGTAACTGTGGCAGGAAGAGTTCTGTAGTGACAGGGCTTGACTGTATTAGAATTGCCCCTGCCTTGTGATGCGAATGCAGGTTATTGCCAGAACCAACATGGCTTTTTCCCAGTGCTCTGCCCATGCCCCACTCACCAGGTCAAAGACAAAGCACTTGAAGGTAGAGCCTAAGCAGTGGCCTACGTGTGCAATCAGTGCTAATCTCTGTGGTTCTCTTCACAGCAGGCAGCCGGGACAGCCAGGCTGTTCGGAGGGAGATTGCCAGAGTCCTCAGCCAAAGCTTTGCTCTGCACTCGCTCACCATTCAGATGGAATCTCCAGCCGACCAGGACCCCAACTGCCCTGTGTGTGAAGACCCCCGCGACTAGCTTAGTGACATGCCAGCCTCCCAGTGTGATAGGCCATTATCAAACCTGCTGCTGTGCAGTTTCTGAATCATAAGAAATAAGGAACTAAAGGAAGAATGCTGAGAAATTCACGTCACGGTGCAACGCACTTTGTATCCTTGTCTCTTAAGCTCCATCCACCGTGAATGAAGATGCATTGAGACCCACTGGATTATATACTCATCAGTGGCTGTGCTCACCTACAGGAATGTATGTAGAGATTACTTCCAGGGAGGGCAGAAATAGCAGCCGCTTGTAACTATAGGCAGTGAAAGCTCATCCCCCAACAAGGCATCCTGAGAATGAGTGGGTAGAGTTGAACTCAGCAATGTTTTATCAAGAATCAGTGCAGGGACAAACAGCCATAAAATTTTCCAAAACATGAGAAACACAAAAAAGAAGTGCCAAGTTAGGGATACAAGAGAATCTGGAGGCTAACACCCCATCGAAATTGTTCTCCCACTAAGCTGTAATAGGACTTTTCTCTACTCTGAGGTTGGACCTATGAATGAATACCCAGAATTTTGCAACTCATCCTTCTTTCTTTGTCACATTTTGGCAATACATCTCTCTAAGTTTTAAATTCTGACCTGTTTATTGCAAAGCTTCACTGTCTAAAAGAAAATCTTTTCACCTCTCAGAGTGGAGTGAACTCTGGGACCAGTCAAATAATGTCGTTGTAGAAACCCAGAGATCTTCAAGAAGAGCCTACAAAGACAGTCACATTGACCCCAGCAAGTTGGCACCACAGATAATTTAGGTGTTTCCCTGCAAGGAAAAATGAAGCAGATGCAATAAATTCATTTCGTCTGTAGTGTGATCTGAGCCCAGCTTTGTGCTGGGTGTCGGAGCCATGGAGAGGAATCAGATGCAGTAAGGGCATCTGAGCTCCAGTGGTATCTCAGCACTACCCACAGGGAGTAAACTCAGATACAGACTCACAAACCAACATCCTGAAAATCCTGGGTCATTGGGTCTGATTTGGTACCTGCACTTCTGCATTGTCTTAAGTTGCCTGGAGATGATTTTAAAGGACAGTCAGAGTCTAGAAGAATCTCAACCACAGGGAGTCACCGAAGAGGGGAGTCAGTCATATACCCAGACAACGACAATAGGATCTTGCACTGCAATGATGGGGTAGAAAGCGCAGGTGATGAGTGCTGCTGGCTGGCACATCCAGTGAGGCTGCATGTCACTGAGGAGACAGTCACGTTGGACTTTGACTTACATACAGAGGTCCTTCAGGCTGATGAAGAAGAGAAAAGCATTCTAGACAAAAGGAAGGCATGCTTGTTTGTCTGCTAGTTTTTCATTTGAACAGCAAAATACATTTGGCAAATAAAACTCTCCACTCTGTAATTTTTAGAGCTATATAGTTTTTGCAACCTTACGATTATTAATATTGTAGAGAGCAGGAATTATGTCTTAGATGATTTTTTATGTCATTGTCAGCTTCTGTCTGGATGCTGGGAACCTAGCAGGCATTAATAATTGTTGAGGCAAAGACTCTCAGGCTATATTTGAGCCTTGTCATTATTTTTCATTTACATTTGTGTTTTCCTGAAGTTGGAGGGCCAAGAAAACATTGACTTTGACGGAGGAGGTCACATCTGTGCCTTCTCTGCAAATCAATCAGTGCCACTGAAATAGCTACTTAGCATTCTGCTGACAGCTTTCCCTGCTAAGCAGAGACAAATATTCTTGTCCCTTACCTTAATGTGCATGTTTAGGCAGTCAGGATTAGCCCTGCTCAGGTTCCTAATGTCTTCTGCCACATCTGGCTCTTAAAATGGAAGGAACAGTCCATGCCAAATCCTTTCTCCCATCTCAGAGCCACTGCATGGTTTTGCTGTTCCATATTTTGTGCAGGACAGGGCCTTGAAGACTGCATGAATTCGCAGTCTTTAGTGTAATTGTTTGCTTCTGTTTCCTTTGAAAAATCATGTTTAGATTTGGTTTTATGTCAGAAGTTCACTGAATGTCAGATAATCGTTAGAGAGGGAGATTTAGGTGTCAACCAAAGGAATTTGTCCCATGGCTCCTGGCTATTTCTGCTATTTCCCTGAAATTCTACTTTTTTGATTGGCTTGACTGAAAGCTCTGAATGGTAAATGATTCTGTGGTAAAGTGCCGGGCAATCTATGATGGGGATTTTAAGGATTTTCAGATGGAGAGGTAGATGTCACCAGGGAGCTTTGTGCACCATCCATCAGTCCAGAAGTTCCAGCTCTCCCTTGTCTCTTCCCTGGTGCTGTCAGAACTCCAGGCCACCCAAGTCAGCCGGCTGGTGTAGCGAAATCTTTGTGTCATTTTCTGCTCTCCAGTTGCCAAAATGTTAATGATCTTGTGTGTCTTTCAGAGCAACACAATTCATTCTTCTGAGCACCGAAATCAGGTCAACTGTCCCCTCCATCTTTCATATGCTTCCCCACCACTCGCCACCCAGTGAAGATTTATCTAGGGCTCTAAGGCGATGTTAGGGCACATAAAGGAAATTTATGCGTTCCATATGCTTGGTTGCAGATGGAAAATGGGCATGTTGAAGGACAGGAAGGAAAGATGTTTATACATTAGGCATCATTTCTGAAGTCAAACTGCCTGAGTTTGAATCTTAGCTCTTCCTTTTATTAGCCCTGTGACCTCAAGCTAGTTCCTCAAGTGCTCTCTGATCCTCTGTCCCTTATCGGTAAAACCTCCCTATTCAGGTTTATGAGAATTTAATAAATTAGTACACTTAAAAAGGTTGGTGCTACTCATAGCATGTTAGCACTCAGTATATGTATATTGACCATTATTTGTTATTATATACAAAAGTGACTGTGCATATATACAGGCACAAACAGTTTTAAATCATCCTAACTATTAAGAAATTTTGAATCATTAACACAACTTCCACAAGAGAGTGGCAAAATTATTGGTAAGAAATTAAATAGTCCTTTCTCTAACATGGAGCAATGGAGGCTTGCTGAGACACAGGTGTTTACTGAGAGTGTTACCTAGTTAGATTGTTAAGGATGAATTAATATATTCGAATTCCTTTCTGAAAGTGTCTGAAAATTTCCACTTTTGTCTTGGAAGAAATAACTGAATTAGTCACTCAAAATATGTTTATTAACAAAGAATACAACTGTCCAGTTCAGTGATGGCAAAGCTATAGGTTTCTCAGATCGTAACCCTATTCCTATGAAATATGACCTGCCTCTCTCTCTCTCTCTCTCTCTCTCTCTCCCCCCTTCCCCCCCTCCCTCTCTCTCTCTCTCCCTCCCTCCCTTCCTCCCTCCCTCCCTTCCTTCCTCCCTCCCTCCCTCCTTTCCTCCCTCCCTCCCTCTCTTTCTCACGTGTAACCTCAACTTGCTCTAACCAGGTACATTTTCTTCTTCTGGTTTCTAAATTGCCAAAGGCAAATTTGAGATCACTTAATATCTGTTACATTTTATGAATAAACAAAGGCTTTTAGCACTCCAGGGTCAAAAAGAAAAAGCTGCTTCCAAGCATATACATTTATTTCATAGATTCCCGGATGGCTCCCCAGTTCCATCCCCACCCAGTGAAACTTGACCCAGAGAACCCTGCAAGGAAACAAGCCTCATTCTCCACTATCAGCTCTAAAGTGCCTTCAGGAAATGATTTTCTCAGCTCAGCTCTCTGTATTCCCTGTTTCGGATCACAGGGCAATCTGTTTAAATGACTAATTACAAAAATCATTAAAGGCACCAAGCAAATGTTGTCTTTGAATACCCGTGTCTGAGGTTTGCGAATCCTGCTAGGCTTGACAGTGACGAGACCACTTAACAGTCCAGCGCAGGCGGATGTTAAAAAAAAAAAAAAGGTGACCATCTGCGGTTCAGTTTCTTAACTTTTCGATTTCACACTTAACGTTTGTCATTCTGTTACTGGGCACCTGTTTAGATGCTATTTTTAAATGTTAATGCATTTTGTTTAAAATGAAATCAAGTGAAAAAGAGTTTGGGTTAAGTCATCATTGTTTTACCACCTAAATTGTGGCAGAGCATAATTTTCATGACACAGATGAAACTTGTGATAGGGACACACTCTTCCACTCTGAGAATTGTGCTGGGGAAAGAGCACATTTGGGGAGCAGTTTGTCTAAGATAGATGAAAGAGGACGTGTGAGAATCGGGGGCACTTATAAAACCATCCTGGTCATGGGCATGAAATCCTGGTGGAGGAAGAAGAGTGAGGGCAGAGGCCATGGCAGCTTTGATGGTTGCAAAAACAAACTCATGCTTCTCCAACCATAAAGGCCAGCCAGGAAGGATGAGAGATGTCATGCTGAATTGCACCCCTTTGAGGAGTGTCCATCAATCTGCAGACAATGGATCCATGTAATTGCCCTATACTTTCCTTCTTCAAAGGGGTACACATTTGCTACGAGCATAATTATCCTATTCACAGCTATTAAAACCATGTGGTATCATACACAGTCCAATGGTACCACCAGATAGGATTTCCCTAGATCTGTAGAGTTGAAACGTGTTGGGGGTATTGAAGAAAAAGAAAGCACACCAGCTGTCCTGAAGATATTGAAAACCATGGTGAGTTAACCTGCACAATGGAATCAGAATCAGATGTCAATCTAGGGCTCTCATTTGGGGCTAAACTGCACTCTTCAAATGGGAACCAGTTGGGATTTCATAAAGCAATCCTGTTTCTTTTCCGACCCCTCCTCAATTTTTTTTCAGAGATGAAGAAGGGATTTTATTTGGCATATACATGGGGTTAATGAACATGAACTTCTGTTACAGTCTTATTCTCCCTCTAAAATTGCCTCTGACATGGCAGGAGTCCATGATCAGAAAGTCTGAATACCTTGTGTTGGCATTTCCTTAGAGTAATACTTTCTATGAATAATTAATGGCCCAGAAAGATGAAGCCTCTTTTGCTGGTTTGCACCTTCTCATAGAGTTCAGCACCTTGTAGCAATTTGGATGGGGAAAGGATAGTTCAGATTTCCCTGCCTC